ATAAAAAGTTTCAAAAAACACCGTTTGAGGTTATATTAACACCAAAACAGTGTAATTTTATACCTTTTAATTAAGAGTGTAGAATCTGATAGATCGTGTCTTCTTTTTATATTTTAGAAAGTTTGGCTTCGTATTGTTTTCATTGTCCTCTTCTTTGCTATCTGTAGACTTAACGGAGTCACGCTTGTCGACATTTTCAAAGTTTCATAATGAATGCTTTGAACTTGCTGGATTTCTTTTAGAGATTTGAAGAGGACTTGTTTTATTGTTTTTAAACCTAAAATCAAACATTTGAAATTTTTCATAAGATTTAATTAGAAAGTTTACTTTTATACAGAATATAAACTATTTATTCTATTACCTTTATTAACAACTGTTTTAAGTTCTCCACAGTATCTTTCTTTCAAGAGGAATGTCGAATTCCAACTCCGATTCTTTGATAACAATTAAAGAAATTTTTTTTATTAACTTCATTTGTTATCTCAGGTTCATTTAAATAAGCACTTAAAACATCCTAAGAAATAATTTTAATACAAAATAAGTATTAACGAAATATTTTGAATTTAGAAATAAAAATATTATTAATTATCAATAATTATTTAAACTTTATCAAAAACATTTTTATAAACTCCAAAATATTTTTTTTACAAATTCTATTATAAATAATTTTCTTATTATTTAAGAAAGTTAAAAAAAAAAAACTGTCACAATTTTTTTTTGGGAGGGGGGAACTTTTAGGGAATTGCCCCAATTCCCTAAAAGTTGATTTAGGCTAAATAATTCGCTCACTTCATAGATCAGTCCCCAATGCCCCAATTCCCTTCAGAATGTACGCTAAATAATTCGCTCACTTCATAGATCAGTCTGTTTACCATTCCTTAATATCATGAAACTAAAATTTTTGAAGTAATCAAAATTTCAACCTAAATCTACTACATTTGACTGGTGCCAATTGTTACATAACACGGACTTAAGGAGAATGCCTAATGATATAAAGGAATAGGTAGTTGCAGAGACTAAACACAAAGTTAAATTCAGCGTTTTCTCCCTTCAACTGGACTAGGCAACCGACGTTAGCTCTGTTCCTCAACTTCATGTAATTGCACAATGCAAAGTAAAGGAATACATTATAAGTTACTTTTTTTGAGCTAGTTTGACTATCGCTACTAAAGCTACAGATGTGGTATCAACAATCAATAAGTTTTTTAATGACAGTGGAGTCTCGAATGGGAAAAACCTTGTGGCATCTATGGTTAAAACTTCCTGTTTTTTTCTTAAATCAATAATACTTCACAAGTAAAACTGACAGATTTACGGAACGATTCTGGTTGCCAGGACGTGTTTAAACATAAAAATGTTACCGATTCCTAGATTGCAATGTCGGTTTCATATCTCACATTTACCAAATAATTTTTCCGCAAGATCACGCGTTTTACAATAACTTAGCTTTGTGAGGCAGAACATAGTCATAAGAAACATTTTTTCTTTTGAATTTATTCTTATGACTATGGGCAGAAGTTAATATTTCTAAATATAAAAAAACACATCAAAATTGGCTAGAGGTGGAACGCGATCTTTGATGCGAACTGGCACTTCAAAGGTCGTGTAAATTATTTAACGCTTGTAAAAATACAATTAATTTTAATTTAATGTTGTCGGGCATTCAAGTATTATAATCCAAAGTATTCAAGATATTAATGTAATAAAAAATGATAAATAACTTTATATATGTAGTGGAACGAATACTAGAAAGTTATGAAGTGTTTTATAACAAAAACTTAGTTTGGGCTATAAGGCCAAAAAGGTTTAAAACGTCCGCATTTTAAAAAGATAGAAAACTTTGAAATTTGAAACTTTTTGAAACATCTCATAACGGTACTGATCAATATTTCAATTCTATTCCAACTGCTTATTGGGTTTAAACAGATCCATCATCAAAATTCTCATCGCATCGAGTTGATTCGAACATGTTTTAAAATCATACACTTTAAAAAGATATCGAAGCTATAATGCAGATAGAGTTAACAAAAGACGTGTCTCTTTACCAAAACAACGAGCGCGTGTTGATTCAAAATTATGGTAACTATATGATGGCCCCTAATATTCTAAAAAAAAGGAGTTAAAGGAGTTAAATATCTTTTAAGAAAAGTTCCCCTTGCCCTCCCTCCCTCCGTATATCAAGAGGTATAAATAAAAGTAATAATTAAACTAGTAATAATTTAGATTCAATCTAATTTATTACTTATGTCATTTAAAATCAAACAATTTAAGGTTGCTAAAAAAAATTATAATGATTTTTTTTGGTAAATGTTGTTTAAAGTCCGAGATCACTTGCTTATTTACTAAAAAAAAAGTGTCGTTATGTGAACAAAAAGTTCGGTTCTATTAAAACTTACAAGGCTCATTGAAAACTTTACTAAAAAAACTAATATCAATAATTAATATTTAGATAAATTAATAATAAGAACCATAAACTTTCAGGAAAACTCTGCAAACATTTGAAAACTCCCTAAAAGCCACTCGAACCATCATTGTAATTTATGACAGCTGAAGCAACACCAAGATCTAAAACCTTGTTAGTAATTAAAATGTTTTAATAAAAAACTTTTTAAAATTTATTTTTTAGATTTCTCTATAAAAAACAAGTTGGTTCCTATGGACATTAAGTAAATTTTTTTACTCATAATCAACGAAATAGTTTTTTTTACTTTTTCTTATTTAAACCATATAGTTGAAATCTCTGTTAAATTTTACACATAATTATATAAAAATTTGATTTTTTTTACAAAAATTGCTAAGATTTTACCATTAAGGTTACCTTAAGAATACCATATAACCACTTTAAGAAGCTGCGGGTCAAAAACCAATTCAAAGTATTTTAAATAAGAACGGATTAGAGCTGAGAAGTATGTCTATGGTTATGCTAAATAAAAATATTTTCCAAAAAGTTCTGGTGGTTAGAGCATAGAAACAAAAGACTCCCTATAGCATCTACCACAAATACAAGGTTTTAAATTTTAAATATTTTGACAGGGTAAGTTTTCCAAAGGTGTTGAAAAATTTCACAATATAATAACATAAAAAACTTTATTAACCTATTGCTCACAACTTTTGGGTATTTAAGGCATACGTTTTGTTGAATTTGCACAATGGATAAAAGTGTCCTGTGGCGGAACATCAAGACTTTTAACTGATCTTTTTAAAACACCATTACTTTAGAATATATATCCAATTCAAAAGAAATTTACATATAGAATACGTAATAATCAGGGCCGTCCCGAAAGGGGGGTGTCATGTCTGTTTTTAGCCGACTAAATCCAAAAAAAAATTTTTTTTGCTAACTAACTTATCTGAAAAAAAATTTCCTCGTTTTCCGACAGTTGCCGACTGCCAACGATAAATCCAATTTTGCCGACTCTAGTGTTCCATTTGCCCAATGATATATATTTATATATCATTGCATTTGCTGACTAAGTGTCCAATTTCTTGACTAATCAAATTCGTCCCCCTCGGACAGCCCTAGTAATAATATTAATAAAAACCCTTAAAACAAAAATTAAATTATATTAACCTAAAACTTATTTGAAAAGTATACAAATCTCGAAATTTAATAGTATTTAAAAAGTAAAATTGATGTTTTTTGAAGAAAATAAATTTATTTTGCTTTTATGAATATTTAAAGACGTTTATAAAGTATCCACGAACGAGAGCGCAGCATTTAGACCGCTTCATAAGCATTACCAAAGAGTTAAGTGAAATTGTTTTTATGTTATTTGAATTTATTCATTTATTTAAAAAATGAAAAAATGGATATATATATATATATATATATATATATATATATATATATATATATATATATATATATATATATATATATAATTAGATATACATACTTTATATATAATTTATATATGTTATACTAAATGTATAACATATATATATATATATATATATATATATATATATATATATATATATATATATATATATATATATATATATATATATATATATATATATATATATATATATATATATGTATGTATGTATATATATATAAATTTATATACAATTGGAACTAGTTCTTAGTTTATTCATTATTATGGGGTGTTAATTATACTTACTGGTATATTATTATTGTTATTCTTATTATTATACTATTAATTACTTTTATTATTGTTGTTTTGTTAATTTATTGCTATTTTTATTATAACTATAACTATGTGTCTATAATATGTTTCATGTCATCAAAGAGGTTTTTACTTTATATTAGTTTTTATAACTATTTGTAACGACCGTGGAAGTTAGATCTTTTTTCCAGAATATATAATTGATTGATTGAAATTGATTGATATAATGTATAGTATATATATATATATATATATATATATATATATATATATATATATATATATATATATATATATATATATATATATATATATATATATATATATATATATATATATATATATATATATATATATATATAGTGTTTATATATGTATATATATAACATATAGTGTATATATATAATATATATAGTGTATATATACAATATATATAGTGTATATATATAATATATATACTGTGTATATATATATATATATATATATATATATATATATATATATATATATATATATATATATATATATATATATGTATATATATATATATATATATATATATATATATATTTATATATATATATATATATATATATATATATATATATATATATATATATATATATGTATATATATATATATATATATATATATACCGTTTGTGTTAAAAAACAGTTCTTAATGACTTGGTTTTTAAAAATGACAAATCATCATGTACACTTAATATAAAAACCATTAAATTTAATTTAGAAAACTAATTAAATATTATTCTTTTAAAAAAATCTCAAAAACACAACTTAAATGAATGGAATATTTTTTAATTTTTAATTAAAAAAACAAAAAAATTTTTTGCTCTATTTCAGAAAAATATTTTTTTTAATATATAGGTACATAAAAGAAATTAGTCTCAATAATGGCGTTTAGTTTAAGCACTGAATTTGAAGCTATCAGACATGATATAAGTACATTGTTTTCGAAGTTTTGTGAAAAGCAAAGTGTACGTTTTGAAGATTTTAGTCAAACATGGCGCTCAATAAACTTTACATATGTAATGGTTTCTGCGACTCGAGGTACTAATGGTGCTCGTATGCGTATATGTGAACGAATATTTCGTGCAGCCAGTGAATATCTCTCAACAAATTCAGTATTTTTATATCGGGTTGCTGCAGTTTATTTATTGTATGCAGTTTATTTTAAACAATTTTCAGATAAAAAGGTTTTTATAAGAGTAACTCCAAAAATGTTGAAAGATATGATTGATTTTTTTAAAATATCAATAGAGCACGAACACTATGATGTAGCATTTGTGATCAAAAAGTTATTTGATGCTAAAGCTTTTATTATTGTAGCATTTCCAAAACAACTTATGTTTGGTCGACTTGAATTTATGATGGGTGTTCAAAGTGAAAACACACCTAAAGTCTCCTTTGAAATTGATCCATATATCAAATCTATATCTGATGGCAAATTTATTGAGTTAATTTCAAGTATACATAATGAATATGAAGAAGTAAAAGCTAAGTTGTTAAGCGCATCTAAAAAACAAGATGAAATAAATGCTCTTTCAAAGCGATTGTCTTACTGCAATTCTGATTTTCCAAAAGACTTTAAAAATCTGCTCACTAATAGAGAATCACTAGAATCATTAACAGTTTGCAAATCTGATACTTTAGAAACTGTTCAGAGGCCAAGTTTGACTCCTTTGAATGAACTAATTTTATTACAAGCAGACAGCTCAAAAGTTGTAGGTGAGCAACTTCCTGAAAGAGCAAGCATTCTTGCTAAAATCAAAGAAAGGTCATGGAAAAATGATGCTAGAAATAAAAAATTAAACAGCCAACTATGCGACACAGAAGAAGAAACAGAAACTTCTGATTTATTCTATAAAAAAAGTGCAATGGTCAAGGTGTATAAAAGAAATATTCCTAGAAAGCATGGTTCTGGTCTTAAGTATAGAAAACCTCTTAAAAAGTAAAATTGAAGTACAAAAAATCTTTTGTTTTTTTTTAAGTTTCAAATTAATTATTTTGTTTCATTTAAATAATTTTTGTCTTCTAACAAATCTCTTAGTTAACACCTTAAAACTAAATTTTGTTTTTTTAATTTTTAGCATCAAAAATCAAATTTGCTAAATTAAAATATGATTTATGTATCAATTATTGCATAGTTTGAATTTTTACAAAGTTAACCATATTTAACAGATTTTTTTAGTTGCTCTTTGTTAAATATGATATTTATATTTCCAACCTCGGAATTAGGGTCGGCATTCGGCAATGCCGACTTAACTGCCAACCTAGATGTGTTTGAGGTTGGCTGAGATTTGCCGACCTTGTTTCTGTGTTTTATGGTGTCCCCTTTGAGTCAAATTTTTTTTTTGCCGACCTCTAACAGTTTGAGGTTGGCAATTTATTGCCGACCTTATTTTTTCAAATTCCAAGGGTTGATATTTCTGAGCAGTCTATTTGTAAAACAAGCTTTTGTTTTCTATGATGTGATGGCATTTTAATTTCTTACTTTCATGTTTTATTACTATTTGCTTAAAAATTTCATAGTAACAGTTTTAAACTTATTTTGAATATAGTTAAATGAATAATGAATATAAATTAATGAATAAAAGAATGTAATTAGTTACACTTCAGATGTGGTTAAAATATCAACAAGTTAATGCTAAGATGGCTTCTTTTGCTCCCAAAGAAAGTAAGTATCTTTTAAATATATTTGTTCTGTGTAAGAAAAAAATATATATATTTCAGGAAGGACACGCAAATAATTTTTTTTGTTGACAACTTGACCACAACTGTTTAAATGTTTTGATGAGTTACACATTTCAGAAATGTGCTGAAAAAAGAAATGCTAAGCTTAACTCAAACTAGGAAAACAAATTATAGAAAAAAGAAAACAATTCTGTATGAAAAAAAGTATATATATAACCTTTAAAATAAAACTCAAAAAATTCAAACTCGAAGCAAAAACTACTTCTTGCTATGTTTTTTAATTGTGTTTGAAATAAAGTACTATAAAACTTATCTTTTGAAAGGTTTTCTTAAAGTTATGCAAAACGCTTTTACAAATTGCTTCTAATGATTGTTTAATAAATAAACAAATTTTATTTAAACTATTTAAAAGTGGAATTATATTATTGAAAAGAAAAAAATATATATTTTAAAGTTGTATAAATATATTTTTTAAAAACTTGCAAAAAAAAACTTTTTTATTAATAACATTTTTATTTGTTTCATGTATGTTAAGTTTTAAAAAAAAAACCTATTAAGCAATTCTTTATAAAAATAGAAATAAAAAAATAAAGCAATTTAATCATTCTATTGCAACGAGAAGATTTTAATTTAACTTATTCATAATTTAAAGTTAAACTCTAAAAATAATATTTTAATAAATTTTTAGAAAGACATGAAACAATAGTTCTAAATGTTTAAATAGATCTTAAAAAATACATGCCTACTAAAAATTTTTAAATATATCATTTATTTTACATTAAAAAATGCGTTTATTTTAATTTAAACGATCATTAAAATTAATTTTTTATTTTATTTAAAGCCTTTGTGTAAAATAAAAAATTTTAGATCAATGATTAGAAGTTATTCAAAATGTAACAATTTTTAAAATTGCATTTAAACTGTTAAAACATTAAAACAGCCGTGGTCAAATTTAAAGAAAGAATAAAACAAGCGTGTTCAATTACAATGTGCGATTGCATGCCATTCCTGTATTTAATCCTAGATTTATGTGTTATAAATAAAATATGTTATTATAAACTAATTAAAATTAAATTAAAATTACAAATTAACTAAGGTGCTAAGTTTTTGTGCGTAATGCATACATATACATTGTCCTATTTTATTTTGAAATTGTCTTATATTAAAGATAATAAACTGATTAAAAAAAAATTAATACAATTATTTTCTAAGATCATTTATTTAACATGAATTGAGACTGGCATATTTTTTGAGACAAGCTTTCTATACTCTCAAACAACCAACAATATATTTTGGCATTGATCTTCATTGTGGGATGTATCAAGATATTCTTGGATAAGACCATTGTTTCTTTCTGCGCAATCATTAGTGACACTTAACCCACATACAAAGCTACAAAAGTCTTTATAAGATGCAAGTTCCTCCAAGTCTTCCTCAGTCTAATACCACTCAGTCTGTAATTAGGTCTTCTAATTTAGTAGACTCTGAGATGGATACCCTTTCTGGGGCCTCTAATCTTAAATCTTTTTTGTTAGGTACAGGGAATGTAAGTAGCTTTCTTATGACAGACATTTTTATAGACCTGTTAAGATCAGGACCAACCAACGCTATAGTAACACACTATAGGGAAAGATATCAAGTATGGTTTTGAAGGGTTTTTAATAAAGCACTACCATCATCATAATCCCAATCCTTTTATTTTTAGCAGCTTTGTATGCCTCAAGGTCATTTACTACTGCATGTTCAGCTTTGCTGGATTTGAGAAATGAAGTAGCAAAGTATAGGGCAACAATAAAGTTTTCTGATCATCACTTAAGAAGTTAATAATAAGAGATGTAATATCCAGAAGCCCCAAGTAGATGCTGTCACACATAAATCTGGCATTATGGTTAGCACCTGGTTGGTACAAACTAAACTTTTCAAGCTTGGGTGAATTGATATTTATGTAGAATGCAAGGTATTTTACTTAGTGATTATAATCATTAAAAAACATTATACTCAAGTGAATAAGCAATGAATTTCTTAGACTTATATACTGTAAAGATCACTTCCATCAACCAGCTCACTTTCAGAAAACTTCTTGAATTTTTTCTCAGCTTCTGCTTTACTAAAAATAGGGTAATACTATTCATCCAAGCGTGCTTTAAATCTTTATACATCTGTTTAGATGGTCCCATAGTGCCGACACAAGAGCCAAAGAACTGATTGTCCCAAAACTCTGACTAAAGTAACAATTGCTCCTAATTTTTTTCCTGTGTTTATGACTGTTGTGTCAGTACACACAGCAATGATATTCTCTGATATTTCGAAATATTCTACCAGATTCTGGAGTACAATAGCCATATTAGTGGTTTTTCCGTTGTCCACAGGAACAACTCCAAGAAGTAAATCATTGTTTGACGAAAACTCAGGACTTGTAACTAATACTGCTAGTCTATCAATAAGGACTCTTTTCCTCGATTCTTCTTTTATGTGTTTTACAATTTTTTCATCAAAGTGCAGCACCAATGGTTTGTTCTTCATTGTTTCCATATAGTCATTATGGATTTTTCAACCTAAACAGATTTTTATCTTTAAATTTAATAACTTTATCAAACAGCAATCTAAAACAGATTTTTAAATTATTACAATTCTTAAAGCTAAAATGTTAAAACAGTATAATTTGTTACCTTCAAAATGGATTAGTTTGTGTCTGCCTCTTCTAATCGACTCTCTGCTTATCCTTAACTCTGTGATATCTCCTTCAAAATAATTTACAATGCTAGAGACAAATAGAGTTTGATCACTTAAACTGATACGAACTCTCATACAAGTTGGTATGGTTGCTGCAATCAAACCCTCCTTTGTGATTTCCTTGTTTACTGCTAAGGCTGAGGGACCAGATCTGTGTCTGTGATTTAGGTCTATCAGGCTTATCAGTCTGTTCTCACTGGATTATTAGAAACCAACCAATCTGTTTCAGCTTTCTTCTGTAGCTCTTCGTGTCTAGTGTATCTTTCAATTCTACTTTCAATCTAAATAAATAAAAACTTTTGAAATTTAGTATATAAAAAGGTTTTAATATTTAATGGTTAAAATATTTAAAGGTTTAAATATTCAAATCTTAATCAGTTTTAGTTTCATTAAATGTTTGTTACCCTAGCCTCTAACTCTTCATCAACGCAAGCACTGATAAACATTTTTCTTTCTTGTCTTTGATCGTGAAGAAAGTCTAGGTCTTCTTTTATTGTAGCACTATCTCTTATCATAGAAGTATCCTGAACCATGGTGTACTCAAACTGTTGGGAATTTATATCAAACAGGTTATCTGTAATTATCAGGAACTTTTCTTGCTGCTTTTGAGATGCATTTGGTTGCATTTTAAGTGGTTTTTCATTACAAACAGCTTTATATTGCTTGTAAATTTCTAGAAACTTGTTTAGTATGCTTACTTCTGAAAGAATATAGTTCTAAAAACCACTAGAGGCCCAAATATTTGCATTACTCCGGAGCAAACAATATTCTCCAGTCACAGCATTGCAAGGTCCGTCAGTTCCTTTGCACTTCATATCTCCACAACATGTCTTTTGTACACAAGCAAAGTTAGTCTTGATTGGTCTGAATCTTTTAACCCTGGGGTAAATAACATACAGGCTTGGTCGGGAATTGCTGACCACGTAGATAATATTTAGTTGCGAAAAGCTGGCCAGATTTTTTAGTCGTTTTGAGAACATTTTAAAAAGCAAAAAAAAAAAAAAAACGACACAGATTAATTGGACCGATGAGAGACAATTACAAAAAAAAAAAAAAAATAAGCAAATAAAATATCTTTTAACGCGAAAAAACTTAAACCTAAATAAATTACATTTAGAACAAATATTTTCGAAACATCGCTCTTTTATAATTTTTTTATAAAATTAACAACTTACGATTGTTTAAAAGAGAAACAAATATCCTTTATTTAACTAAGTTTGCAAGTTTTAGTTTTATTTGAGCTAAATTGTTTAATAAACAAAAAAGTTAATTTTTTTAATACCTATTTTATGTTTTGCGTAGTTTGAAAAGTTTAACATATTTGAAGCGATTCTTCTTAGTAAGATAAACAAATGAAATAATTAAATCATTGAATTACTATAGGAATTAAATTATCAAGATAGATATCAACTAAAAAGGTTAAAAATACTTAATGACCAGGAAGCGAAACTGCTTCACAATGTCGCTGATGATGTTTAGAGAGTGGGCTTTTTAATTTTAATTAGTATTTAAAGCAGAAAAAAGTAAAACGAGTTTTAAGAATGGCAACTTAAGCGAAATTAATTAGAGTTAGTAAACCAATATCTAGAAACTTTTTTTTTTAATCTAATTATTTGCTATATATATTTTTGTTCTGTCGTGACCTCAGGCGCGATGCTTGTTCATCCGCAAGTTACTTTGTATGCGTTGTTTGTGTTTAGTAACTAGAAACTTCTTATATGTTTGTTACATAATTAGTTTAATTAACTTTAACGATTATAACTTCATTGAAAATGCAATTATTTTTGTAAGTCTTTATTTAAATCATAAAAATTGCTTTAAAAGATACATTACGATAAAAAACAGATACACAAAATTACATTTACATAAAGATTACATACTTTTTAAATAAAAAATAAGAATATACTAATAAAATCTATAATTTATAATAAACTTTTAAAATTTTAACAATTTAATTAATATAAATTTAAAACATTTATTTTTGTAAACAAATAATATATATTCTTAAAACAATTCTAGAAATCTCAAAACGTTACAAATCGTGAATAATACAAATTCTAAAACATTTCAACAGAATACTCTAGAACTTTATTTCGCTTAATCAGCGTATTTTTTGAACCAATAGAATTAGTTTGTTCGTTAATTTGGCGGGTTTTTAGTGCTCGCAAATATTCTTTTTATTCTTGCGCACAATGATGTTTTGGGAACATTCAAGTTTTTTATGTTTCCATGTATGTCTGTAAAACGAAAATTTTTTGTTTCATAAATAAACTTAAATGTTCTCAAAACGACTAAAAAACCTGGCCAGTTTTACGCAACTAAATATAATTTCCGTGGTCAGTATTCGAGAGCGATCGCTCCCGCTTCCCGACCAAGCCTGAACATACAGAAAATATCTAATAACATGACCATTAGTAGGCAATTGTCTGCTAGTTAGGGAGGTCAGTTTCAAGAAGGTAGACAGGTCTTCTAGAGTTGTAATTGATTGGCTTTACAGCTCCTTTTTTAGCTTTAGCTTTTCTTTTTTTCTGAAATATTAAAATGTTTGAACAAAGAATTTATTTATACATTTATAAAATTAAATATAAAAATTAATGAGGTCTGCTTTTAAGCGTATTGAGTAATAATATAATAAGAACTTAATGGCAGACAGTAGTAACGGTGGGGTGGTTGGGTCCTAGGATTTAGAGTAAGGATAAAGGGCAGAGGAGTTGGTGGGCATTGTCAATATTATTATGAATAAAATAATATGAGTAAAAACAAACAAAAGTATTTTTATTGTATATCAGCATTAATCTACTATTTCGTCTGTTAAGCAAGCTTGAACAGGAAAATGATATTTGCTGAAATTCGTCAAATAAATTGTTTTTTAACATTATAATACGTGTATTATTTATAATGTCTGAAATAATCATATAAAATATCTTATACAATGTAAAATATATTATTTTATTGTACAAACATGTAAAATATCATTTTTATAAAATAAAAATGCAAATTCCTTGTAAAAATGAATTTTTACTTGTAGCTGTTACAAGCATCCAGCATACTTAAAAGCCTACATACTATATATATATATATATATATATATATATATATATATATATATATATATATATATATATATATATATATATATATATATATATATATATATACACACACAAATATATATGTATATATATATATGTGTGTGTGTATATTTCATATGATATGATATATATGCACACATATATTTTATTATACACACACACATATATATATATACTAGCAGTAAGCAACCTGTAATATGTGTTGTTAGTAAATGAAATTTAAAAAAAAAAATGCGTATAGAAAAGCTTAGAAACTACTTTAAAATAGAAAAGCCTAGAAAATGACGTAACTCGACTAATAATAATAATAATATTAAATTAGCGTATTCATATTATCAGATATATATATATATACTTTTAATTAATAAAGTAAATAAATTAATGTAATTTTTTTATTTGTTACATTTTTAGTTATAAAGCTGCAATTAGAAATTTAAGAAATTATCATCTAAGAAAATTTAATGTGTTTTAATACATTTATACGAATCTCAAGAAAAGAAAGAAGTTTGTCTATATCAAACACTTAAAAATGTAATATTAAATTGAGTTATTCAATATAAATAAGAAATTGAAATAAAATAAACATTCCCTAATAGTAATAATAAAAAAAATAGTTATAATAATATTTAACTTGTTTTACCGTAATTTAAAAATTATGAAGTCAAAATTTCACTTAAATTGAACATTTAATTAGAATTTTTTTCTATAGACAAAACTCAAAGTTTGCATCACAAAGTAACTTGATCACCACATATAAATGGTGCTCTTTGGTTAGCAGGTTGGTACTAAAAAAATGAATAAGCTAGATTGGCACTATCAGGTTCCATTATAAATGTGTAAAAACAAAAATATTAAGTAATTTTAAATATTTGAAAAAAAGTAAACAATATTTTTTTCTTTTGAAAGACATTTTGTTAGAACTTTTAGTTCAGAAATTGTTTTGCTATTTAATGGTCCTAATAAAATTTAATTCTGGACAAGATGGCCTCTGATATAGCGGAAAAGATAAAGGTTATGTTAAGCAGTAAAGGATGAAGATTATGTTAAGTCAGTCCAACCCCGTAAGCAGTAAAAGGATACTTATTGGTGTTCTTTTTGAAATATTTTTCCTCTTTTTTTTTAACTTTTTTCTAATGTTGTTTTTTATTATTTTTTATTTTGAAATGACCTTTGTTCAATTTTATTTAGTTATAGCAACAAAAGAAGATACTCCAAAGTATCAGTTAAAAAGGTTTGAACCAACTCTTCGCAAAGCCTTGTCTGTGGTAGTACCATTAAATTTAAATCGTTTAAAAAAGCACAAACAGAACATTGAAAAGGTAAACTTATTTCTAATCAACAAGGCTTTTTAAAGAAGTTGCAATCTAATAAGAGATTAAAATGTTGCTAGTTTTTTTCTTTGTAGCAGTAAACTATATAATTTGATATTTGCTACCTTTATAAGTGCAGATTATGTATGTCTAGATTGTTGAAGCGGCAGCTACTTATTTAAACAAGCTCCTAAGATACAAAGTTATAATCAGGAACTATAATCTGTTTTAAGACTAATTTATGAGCTATACTACGCTGCCTGAACTAGATAAAAGTTCACCCTGCTACTGGTGACTAAAAAATAGAACACAAACATACAAATAGCAACTTACGGGTGAGTGAACACCTTGGTAACATTGTTTCCAATAGCAGGGTGTTCACTAAACCATTGCTGTTAGTATGTTTGTGTTCTATCTGACACTCTGGTGCTGTGTTTACTCACCCATAAGTTATTTTAATATGTTTGTGTTCTGCTTGAATATCTGCTGTTGTTTAAGCTCAGTAACCAAATAGTGACTCCAACTATAAAAGCCAACTCACCTTAATATCTAGTATTTTGTTAGATATGTCTTTCTTAATGCATTTCCAAAATATTCCAATCAACGTTTTAAAGTACTGCTTACGGGAAGTAACTTCTTTTAACTACTCCAGGTCAGGTCAGGTTCAGGATCATCATGATCACCCTGCTACTGGTATCATGTACCCAGTACTACCTGGTAGTAAGGCTTCCTGAACTCTGTGGTAACTCTCAGGGAGGCTAATTCTATCAACAGCTGTAAAGTATCAGAATATTAACAGTGCCATGTTGCACATAGATGGTGTCATGTTAATGTTTATGGTGTGCATTGTTGAGGTCACATAAGGACCCCTAAGTTATAGCTTTAGGTTAATTAGCAGGACAAAAACAACTGCATAGCTCATTGCTACGGATGCCGTGATCCAACTATGAAGTCAAACTCTCTTTAAACTTTAACCATGCCCAAAGTAACCAAAAATATCAAACATAAAAAATCTCCACCACATAACTATTTCAAAATATCTTTCACAAATGTTCATATTCTGCAAAGTAACTTCGCATCAGTGGAATCTCACGTCTTGCAAAATTCACCAGACCTGATTGCTTTTTGTTTAACCATTTTAAATTTGGCTGTTCTCTCTTCAGGTTTAAGTTTTAATAGATACTATTCTTTAATTTGCAAAGCTTCATATTGTCAAATGGTTGGCTTGGGTGTATATTACGCATCAATTCACTAATTTGTTGAGAAATCCTCTGACCATTCTTTTATGTGCTTCCACTTAGCACCTCTTCACTCACCTTTCTCTTTATTCTTTATTGTTCTCCTTCTCAAGATTGCACTCTTTTAGATTTAATTTCTGATTAAATTGACCAATTCCTTTTCTCTTTACCCTTCTGCCAATATTATTATTGGTGACTTTTAATGCTCATCACACTAAATCGTTTGACTCTAATACCACAGACCCTGCTGGTACTAAAGCCCATAACCTCTGTATTTCTTAATCTCCTACTCAGATAATCAACTTTGTGACAATCCTAATTATTAACCTTGACTTCTTGATATGTGTCTGACTCTAACTGATATTCAATTTGTATGTGTACTTCGTTAAGTATTTCAGACCATGCGATGATCTCTATAAATCTTTCATGTTGTACTTTTTCTTTGGAATCACCATATCATCGCACTACTCTTGAGTCCTTAACAAAAGGGGTGTTTATTAATCTTTAGACAATTTTCCCACCCACCCCTAATGCAAAATTACTTACTACTACCCTAAAGCTGACTTTATTTTTGTGATTTTCTATGTGATGGGCATTAGGGTGATATTTTTTCTCCCTCTGCTGAATAATGCGCCTCGTACATAACCCCTGGATCCAGGCAGAAAAGGAAACTTTTATTCCCTTAGTCTAACCTCATTCTACTCCATAGTTTTCACTTTCTTGTGCAGCTGCTATATCTAATCCTGTTCTTTTTTTTTGTCTGTCTGTCTGTCTGATGCTAAGCTCCATTATTTACTAAGCTCCATTATTCTCAGTTCACTAAATTTCTTATCTTATTTCAGAAGTTAGGCTCTAGAGACTTTTGAAAATTTCTGATAAGAAATAAGAGTTTGCTAAATAACCTAAGAGTTCTGCAAGCTCTGCAAAGGTTTAGAGTTCTGCAAGCTCTGCAAAGGTTTAGAGTTCTGCAAGCTCTGCAAAGGTTTAGAGTTCTGCAAGCTCTGCAAAGGTTTAGAGTTCTGCAAGCTCTGCAAAGGTTTAGAGTTCTGCAAGCTCTGCAAAGGTTTAGAGTTCTGCAAGCTCTGCAAATTTATTAAAATTGTTTTAAGTAAGTTTTAATAAAATATGTAATTTATAAAACAGTTGTTTTTAAGTTATAATGAAATGTTCATAACACTTTTGTTTACAAAATAATTTATATATATATATATATATATATATATATATATATATATATATATATATATATATATATATATATATATATATCAAACTTTTTTTTTAGCTGGTTCACGATAAAAATTGGCAAGAATTGAACAAAGAACAAATAAATGCCACATTAACAGTGCAAGTATGTTTTAGATTTTAATGTGTAAAAAGTAATTTGTTGAAATTATATTAAAGTTTAATTATATAAGTTTGATTGCATTCCTGCCTTTATTGCAAGTAGAAGTATTTACAAAGTACAATTTTAAAATATAATAAAATATATAGTAAGTAGTAAATTTTATTTTAAAAATGCTGCTTTCATAATGGATGTAGCAGACCGAAAAAAAAGTACTTCAGTTATTGACATATTCAAATATGTATATATATATATATATATATATATATATATATATATATATATATATATATATATATATATATATATATATATATATATATATATATATATATATATATTCAGTTATAGTTTCCAGTATATTAAGGATTACAAAACAATAAAAAGACACTTTAGAAACAACTACAGAACAGAAAAACTATCAATCAATGAAAGTCTAAGAATATTCTAAAGTTGTTTAATTAGAATAATTCATATAATTTAAATAAAAAATTCTTCTTAAAGCAACAATTTTTTCTATTTGGTAAACTATTATTTTGTAACTAGGCCTATAATTTTGTTGACAAAGCTTCCTCTAAAGTCACGGTTCATTGCTAGAAATAATACTTACTAGTGCCACTTAAGCAAGCTAGCTACAAGCTACAGGCTTTCACAGAAAGGCATGTGATCACACGTCTTTATATGACCACACAAAAAATAATATGTTTTAATGATTTGACCACGGCTTTTGACATATTTTCAAAACTTAAAATGGGCTACAAAAACTTACCTAAACTTATCTAAAAAGAAAAAAAACAAAAAATGAAAAAAATACTTAGTTAAAGCAAAAACACAAAAAAATAAATATATATATAACCTAATTAAAACAAAACTCATCAAACTGAAATGCTTAGTCTATTTAAATTACATATTAAAAAACCATATCAATCTTTGTTTTAACATTTGTACTTTTTTATTTTTTATATATGTTTCAAAAGATAAACATTTCTCATAAAAAATACATAATTTTATAAATAAAAAAAGCAACTCTTATTGTTTTAAAAAACAGTACTGGAACAACAGATGATTTTTCTATTTCTAAACGAAGTATTTTGAAACAGAAAAAATTAAGTATAAGTAGAACTGCCTGTAAAATTAAAGACAACTTTATTATATTGGCTAAGGGTAAAAGTCTTACCTTGCATTTTGACTCAAAAATCATGAAAGAACTTGGTAAAAAAAAAGTTGAAAGAGTAGCTGTACTAATCAGTTCACCAGATCTTTCAGAATCACAATTTTTGGGTATTTTAATTGTGAAAGATGGCACTGCTGAGTCTCTTGGAAACGCAATCAAAAAAACTTTAAAGGACTGGGAACTATTTGACTATGTTGATTGTCTGTCCTTTGACTCTACAGTCATAAATACTGGTCGGCTAAATGGGGTGGCTTTTTGTCATCATGTCTATGAATTTTATATAAAGGTAAATATTGAAAAAATATAATATTTTTATATTTATTTATATATTTAATGGTGAGTATTTCTCGATGAATTAAATGATTAACCTTATTATTAAAATTTAGTTTAGTGATTTGAAATATATATATTTCACCACTTTTCAAGTGTTCTTACTGGTGGTAAAACAAGTGGACCAAAGACTGAGTTATTTGAAAGACTGAAGTGTAATTGGAAATTGATTCTTGAAAAGAAGATTTGATAACCTAAAGAGATAACCTAAACTATGATAACCTAAAGAGATTTGACTAAAAAAATTAGTATATTAATGTGTTTGATTTAAAGTTTTAATAATAAGGTTTTTTTTTTAATTTAGGCTTCTGAATCATTAACATTCCTTCAAATTTGCCTTGAAAATGATATGTTTCCAAGAAATGACTACTATTTTATGCTATTACTATATTACTTATTTTGTATTTTATACAATTAGCAGTTCTTTGGTGGTTAAGTAAAAAATTTTCACTTTAGATTTCCAATGGCTTCGCATCATGCCAGGTTTATGGCACAGGGAGTTTATTTTTTAACATATGACCTTCTTCAGCCCCAATTCAGTAACTTATGTTCTAATATAATATCATTGCAAGAGGGAAAGCTGATTCATGAAATTGCTTCATTTACAGCACTATTTTATGTTACATGGTTTATTAAAGCTCCTTTCCCTGCCATAGCACCTTCTATAGATCCAAAAGCTGTTAATGAAATGATATAATACTCTGAACTCTATCAAAAACCAACAGAAGCCGTACTGAATTCACTTGAAAAACACAATTGGTATTTAAATGAAAGATTTGTGGTTATGTGTCTTGCTGATAAATGTTTACCTGTAGATACATAAAATAGCTCTTAAATTAGATCAAACAGAAAAACCTACCAGTTATAAAACGGGAAAACTTAGTATCGAAATTTTTATTGACAATTAAAAAAATCAAACAAAAAAAGTTGAAGATTTGATTGGTTCTGAAAGCTGGTTTTTCTTTGATTTATTAAAAATGATATTACAAGAAGCAGAACGGCTGAAAATCAGTTCTTCAAAATGGGAAACATTTTCGGGTTATATAAGATTTAAAAATTGTCACTGGTCTTCTTGTTGTAAATGACAGTGCAGAACGTGCTATCAAACTTGGTCAAGACTTCATTGAAACTTTCAGAAATAAAGAAGATAGCCAAGCTAATTGTTGATTATCATCTAAAATTTCAGACAAGAGAAAAAAATCTTGGTTGAAAACTTTTCAATAAAACTTCTTTAAAAAATAAATACAAAAATAAAAATATTTTTTATTTAAAATATGTAGAAAAAAAATTATAATCTATCCCCCTCCCCCCTCCCCTTCTGCCTAAATATACACAGCATGTATTTAAATGGATAGGGCTGACCACTTCAACTTTTGTAGTAAAACAAAACATAATTTTAAATTAGATTTATGAAAAATACTAAAATAACACTTGAAATATCTTTAAAATATTTGTAAGTGGCCCTGCCCCTCCCCCTCATTATTTACAAAAATTAGAAATTTTGGTATTTTCGGACCGCTGCACAGTGACTCAGATTAGCATAAAAATGGCAAAAAGTCCGAAAAAAAAGTTTTATCGTTTTTAGACTTAAAATGTTAAAGTAAACTACTTTTTGGTCTGACATCAACTTTAAATAATTTCACAGACATTATTAGTTAAATTTATCACCAAAGTTAAATTTATCACCATAAAATTATAAAAATTTAAGGTATGGTTATCTTGTAAGCAACCTTATTTTCCACCTCCATGCAAAACTTTATTATTATTTTTGTTAAAGTAATGAGTGTCTAGATATTAAAAATTTATTTACTTTTTTTTTTTTAGATTAAAAAAACAAGTTCTTTTTAATTTTTCTTTTAAAAATTAAAATTTTAGTACACAAGTTTAAACATAAGATCCAGCCAAAAAAAAGTTCCACATTGTTCCACGTTCACTTTTAGTGCAACAAAACCACTAAACTATAGCCAAGTAAACCCTACAGTATTTGCAACTTCCTGCTCCTTAAGGAGATATTTTAAATTGATTCATGCATAGTTTTGTCAAATGCAACACCCGCCCCTCCCTTTTCGATTTAAAAACAGTTTTCGGACGTTTGTGTAATAATATACAATCTAATCTACAATAAAATACAATATACTATTATTTTGAAAATTAAAGAAGTCTTATCAGAAATCATAATATAATTTGGTAAAGAAAAAATTAAGTTTTAAAATTAAAATGAAAAGGTTGGATCTATTTTTAAAAATTCTCAAATCTGAAGCAAATAACGAAGCACTTCCTGAAATACTTATTGAATTTATCAAAAAATCCAAAATATTTCCTAAAGATAAACTTGGTGAACTAAATAGAATTGTACAGATTTTTATTTCGAAAGTGAAAAATAAGCTTAAAAAATATTGTAGAAACAATGAAAAAATTTTAAAGTACGAAAATAATTGGCTAGGAAAAAATTTCATTTATTATAGTGTGTCTTTTCATCCTAGACCAGGAAGACCAGTTAAGGAATGGGGAGATCTTTGTAAAAGAAGTAAAAGAGCAAAGATTGCAGGTTTAACTAATGAACACCATGTAGCTCTATCTCTTGCTGCGTCAAAGAGTGCTAAAACAGCTGATGAAAACGATTCACTTTATATTTTGAAAAGAACTTCTAAATGTGTTAATGTAGCTCAGATGAGAAGAAGTATTGATTCCTTGACTCAAACAACTATCAAACTAGAAGAGGCTCTTGTTTTGAAAAACCAATTGACTTAAGTGATTTACAATACCAAATGATGAGAAATTCAGCCCTTTTTCACAATGTAAAAATATATCCTAGTCTTAATAAGCTTGGGGAAGAAAAGCTGAAATGTTATCCAGAAGGTGTTCAATTTACTGAAATGTCAGCATTACAAAGTATGCTAAATTATACAGTTACTAGGATTATAGACAATTGATTTAAAGAAAAGTTGTAAAGTTGAGATGAATGGAGTTTTATATGTAAAAATTGGGTTTGATGGAGCTTCAAGTCAAAGTATTTACAAACAAATATTTGACAACCTTGATTTTACTGAAGAATCAAAGCAAGAAGATAGCCTGTTTAGCACAGCAGTTGTACCTCTTCTGTTTAAAGTTGAAAACATTGACATTTGGAAAAATTCTAAAAGTTCTAGCTGCCATTTTTGTAGACCTCTTCACCTGCTATATAAAAAAGAGACATCAGAGTTGTGCAAAAAATAAGAAACTGATCTTCAAATTCAAATGAATTAGTTAAAACCCTTCTCAACAGATTTGCGTATTGCTGGTAGAGTAATAACTATTAAGGTTACTTTTAAAATTGATATGACCATGTTTGATGGAAAAGTAATAAATTCATTGACACTAAATCAGTCTTGTAATGTGTGTGGTTGTAAGCCCAAAGAGATGATATAGATATAGTTTAAAAAAAGCCTGTTAATGAGAAAGCTCTTAAACTAGGTATTTCAAGTTTGCACTGTTGAGTAAGATCTTTTGAATTCATTATACA